AACATGTTTGTAATTTGTACATCATAAATAAATTCAAACCCAACTTTAAGCAATTTCAACTTGTATCTTGGGTCAAGAACTGTTGCTATGAACAACAATTGATTAAACTTTTCAAGATTACCCCAATACTTATCATATTTTCTTCTCATGCTAATTGTCATGGATCCTATCATACTATTTAGCTCTTTAACTAATTCTTTCAACTCCCCCATGAATTTCACATATTTCTTGAAAGAAAGTGTTTGACATTACATATAAAGAGCCACTAATTTTCAATGTCATATCATAAAAAGCCTTCAAGAATTTGACAAATGCTTCAGCTTGGTCCCAATTGGCATGTGNCAAATGCTTCAGCTTGGTCCCAATCTGCATGTGTTGGTGGTTCATCTATATTTTTCCAATTAGATCTTTCTTCATCAAAGTACTTTGTATAGTTTGCATCACTTTCCAAAATATCAAATGTTTTTTTAAACTTTATTGCAGCATGTAACATCATGTAGGTGGAATTCCATCTAGTTGATACATCCAAACACAATAAACCTCGAGACTCAATAATTGCATCCTTGCAATTCTCTCGAAATCTTTTTAGTTGTGCATAGGGGAAGATCTAGCATACCATACAACATTGCAGATAGATGAAATAGCATTGCTAATTTCTTTTACACCATCACAAATTATAAGATTGAGAATGTGAGCACAACAGTTCATATGAAGCATTTCTCCCCCAAGAACTAGACCATTCTTCTTCTCTAGAAAACCACTCTACAATTTCATTATTTCTGCGTCATTAGATGAAGTATTATCAACAGTCACATAGAAAATCTTATTAATTCCCCAATCCTAAAGACAAGATATCAATTCCTTTCCTACCATATCACCCTTATGGTTAGGGATGTGGATGAAACTTATGATTCATTTTTTAAGTCTCCAATCATCGTCAACCCAATGAGCAGTCAAGCACAAATAACTTACATTTTGTACAGATGTCCAACAATCAGTAGTCAAACGAACTCGGTGTTTACTCAATTTCTTCTTCTCATCAAGAAACAAATGATGTATATCCCTAGCAACTGTAATCCTTGAAGGAAAATCAAAAGTTGAAAAAAAAATACCTTGTATAACACCGAAAACGTTCATCTTCCACGTGTCGAAAAGGTAACTCAGATAATATAAAATACTTATTAATCTGATCTCTCACCCCTTTCTAAGTAAACTTGACAAGTTGTCCACCACTACCAACACTTTCTAAAACTTCGTCATTTTAAGAATTACCATAGAAATTCAATGTC